CAGATCTTCACCCCAGGAAGTAAGATTTCCAACTCATGGAAAAGGAACCTCAACCAATTTGAGAACAATGAGTGAAGCTGCCCATATCCACTGGAACACCAATCTCAGTGATGCTACACCACTCAAATCTGGACAAGGGGACACAGTGATAGAATGACAAAGCAAGATCTCCCAGCCACTTTAAGCTTTGCACAACCAAAAGTTAAAGGTGGAGCCTCACACCCAGTACCTCATTTTCTTTGGCACCCCCTGACACAAATAGCTCTGGTTTTGACCATCCCACCCTTCTTGGTCCTTTTCAAAACTGCTGCAGAATCTTTTATTTATAAATATAATACTATTTTGTACCTTAATGCTCACATGTCTGATGGTTAGTGTATTTTAAGGATCACAAGACTTCCTTACAGGAAATGTAATAATACACAATCAATGTAAAAAACTTGAGTATGGAGGTGCTGTGTGACTGGATACAACACTTTAAAGATATAGACAAACACTCAGAAAATTTACTTCTCTGTCAGGAAATTCACTTTGGAGAAGAAAAAAAACAAACAAACCAAACAACCAAACGAAAAACCCACAAAAAACCCAAACAAAACACAAAATAAACAACAACAACAACTAAAAAGGGTAAAGCTTGAGAGACAATTTTACAGCATTAATTAAAGAAACTACTAAAGATCTGGTACTGAAGAAAAGGGACAGAATAAAACATCTCTCATGAAGCTGACTCTAGAGACATGCTGAAGTTAAACTGTAACAAGGAACATATTTAAAATGGCAAAATGAGATGATGTGAAGAACACTGAGAAAGAAGCTTACAAGAGAAAACACCTCTGCCATCAAAAAAGTAATTTGGAATTTTACCATGGAACATAAAACCAAGAATGCATTTTTTAAACACTGATCATTTGCTTTAGTATTTAACAAAATAAGCAAAGTGTGTATCTTCTTCCAAAAAGAGGCAGACACCCCAATTGGAAGAGGCTTGCTTGGGTTATACATAGCTGACCTGAGAAAATAAATTGCAAAACTAATCTAATACAAAGCACAAACATCTCCCATTAGCCAAGGCAACAACCTGTCTGTATCCCATCATCTTCCTCCTGAACAAAAGACTGAAAAAACAGTTTTCTGCTATTTTCAATTTGAAAATAACATTGTTTAACCCAAGAATGCACACACTTGCTCTTTAGAACTGTCATCCTATAAACAATACTCAGTATTCATTAGGTTATACAGGAAGAAAAAAATAAAATCCGAGGTAAGTCTTTGCTCAGCTAAGGTGCAGAGTGGCATGGGCTTGAAAAGCCATGGAAAACAATCGAAACTGAGACTAGTTTCATTTTTACTGGTACTGCACAGGTTCCGCTAAGCCTTTTGCTCAGTGAATACCTATAATGCAATTTTAACAAAAAGCTTCAACAACAGAGAACAACATTGTCCAAAATCTGAAATCTCTTTCCAATAAGATCAAAAGGCTGAAACATTTTGGGGAGAAATAAAAAAAATAAAATCACATATGGCAATTCCCACTCCTTTTGCTAGTTTTACACAGAGCATCTGTTAAGTTTTTCTCAAATGTTATGTCCTGTTCACATTGTTTTGCTACACACAGCTTTTGTGGTGTTTACTTGAGGCTTGTTGGAGGATGTGATTGCTTTTTCAATCCGCAGCAGCATTTAATATCCCTTCCTACTTGTTAACAGCAACTTTTATAAACCACAATTCTGAATACGAATGAAAGTGTTGCTAAAAAAAAATCAACCATGTGCTCATCCAAGCAGAAATTTAAAGGAAAATTGCTGTACACTGATTTCTCCCCCTCCAAAAAAAAAAAAAAAAAAAAAACCAAACACACAACTTTATTAAATATATAATGCAATTAGCACCTCTTCAGCAGTCTGCTTTGGCAGTTTTAATCTGAATCCCTCCCAGAACAGTCGGGGCTGATGGGTGACACTTGAGATCTGAAGAGTGTGGGTAAAAATAACCTCTGTTCAACAAGACATGATGAACACCAGACAGCTGAGTCACCTTTAAACCAATTTTAATTTTCTGAATTAGAAAGTATTATCAAAAAGAGGGAGTTAAAGAATTAAAAAATCTGTCTGAAATGTATCTTTCATTGAATATTCTGTAATGTAAACTCTGAGCTTCCTTTTCCTTGCTGCCATTGGCTTAACATCAACACAGAGGGCTCAACCACCTCTGAAAAACGTCAACTTCATGTATAGAAGACACTTATTAAAATTTCAGCTCCATTTAAAAAGTGTAATTTCTAAGCACCTGTTTCTTACAAAGCACTTATCATTCCTATTAATGACGGCTTCCAGCATTATCAGCAAAATTAAGAATTAGTCAGGCCCCAAACTGCTGCTGAACACGTACAATCTGTGGAGCTTGTGGGCGTTTTGCAAGACAGCTGTAACACCACAGAAAGTTTCCTGTACATCAAGCATTCATTTGACAGCAAACTAAGCAAGCTAGTGGGGAAACACTACAAGTTCATTGAAGCCCAGTGACAAAACTGAAACCTTAGGAGAGAGTGTTTCAGAAGTGTGTTCACACTGATTTTCAGGAACAGCCTTTACTTTGGAAGCTTTCTCCCAAGACTGCAAAAAGAACAATGAGCACCGACACAGCAGAAAAGCAAAACGATCGGCATCTACTAGCAGAAACATGCCAGCTACTGCCGTTTTTTACGACCCGCGTGAAAGCAAACACAAATCTCCCAACGGGAGCGGACAGACCCCGGACCACTAAAGGCCACTTCCCAGGCAGGAAAGTTTCCCCAAATCTGCTAAAACCCCATGTTTAATCAACCACTTCGGACCGCCTTAAGTGGAAAGGGAAATACACGAACAAGCACGGCGACAGCGTACGAGCCAGCAGCGATGTGCCGAGAGACGCCCCGGTGCAGCAGCCCGCGGGCACAGGACGGGGCAGGGCCGGGCCTCTACCCACCGCTATTCCCACGCGTGGCGGGGGAAGCCCGGCAGCCCGGCGGGGGGTGGGAGGGAAGCGAAGGGAAGCCTGGCTGCGGAGTAAGCCACGGCAGGTGGAGGCGGGCGAGCTGCTAACGGAAGGAACAGCCGAGGTTATGAAGCCTGCGGAAGAAGCAGCGACCACGGGAGAGACGGGCTGTTCCCCGAACGGGGTGCGATGGAGAACGGGCCGCGGGAGGGGCACGTTTCCCGTAGAGCGCCGGTTGAGGGGAGGTCGGGCGCCGGCGGGGAGGGGGAGCGAAGGCAGCCGGGGCGGCTTCGCTGCACTCACAGGCGAGTCGTAGGAGAAGGCACACTCCGTCTTGTAGACCCGGTCCCCTGACTTGGGCACCCGGATCGTGGGCATGTAGGGGACAAGCAGCTCGCCCAGGTCCCCGGCGGCCATCTGCGCATCACCGCCGCTGAAGAGCGCGGCCCGCTGCATGTTCCTTCACTCCCGCCGGTCGGCAGACGACGAGCAGCCAGTGCGAGGGCAATAGGGGCGGACAGTAGCCGGGCCCGGGGCAGGGCGCGGCGGGGGCGAGCCGTGCCTGCAGGAGGAAAGTGGGAGGGAAGATGCTATTTTTAATCCAATGGCGGCGGGAACAGCACCAGCTGCAGCGGCGGCACTCGGGGGTCCCAGCGCGGGAGGGCGAGAGGGAGGGCAGGGCGGCAGGGGCGGAGCGGGCTCCGGCGGACGCCGGGAGGTACCGCCCGCGGGGGCGGTGTGGGACGCTCCCCTGAGGTGATTCCCGCCCCCGCGCGCGTGCCTCGGACCACCGTTAGGTGGCAGCCGGCGGCGCGCGGCCGCGCTGCGCACCCGCCGAGACCCGCGGCGGCTCCCGGAGGGGTCGGCTCCATCCCTGGCATCGTTCAAGGCCAGGTTGTCCGGGGCTTGGAGCAACCAGGACTGGTGGAAGGTGTCCCTGCCCGTGGCAGAGGGGGTGGAACTAGATGGTCTTTAAGGTCCCTTCCAACCCAAACCATTCTGTGGCTCTATGAGAGAACGGAGGCTGGGTCTCCAGGTCTCCCTGGGTAGCTCAGAGGAGGTTTGCCTTTGAGCCGTAATGCTCTGCTACAGGAGGCTTCATTTATTTTTAAGCAAGCAAATACTAAGTGTACATTAATTCTCAGCTGCAAGGATCTACTAACTTTACATGCCTAAAGTAAGCTTTCAGACACGCCCTGCAGTTCACGGCAAAGGTGCCGCGACCATTGGGTACGCGGGGCGAGCGTGGCGACCCAGTGGTGTGTAACCTGCCAGAGCAAGCGGAACGGGCTGGCACAGAGGAGCGGGCTGCTGGCATGCAGGGCAGGAAGACTCAGCCCGAGGTCTCCTAGGAAGCCTGCTGCAGCACCAGCAACTAAACCCCATGTCTTGAGAGATGGGACGTTTAGCTTAAAATTCCTTTTTTTTCCTTTTTTTTTTTTCTTTTTTTCTTTTTTTTTTCCCTGCATTTGCTGTGTTTCTCTTTGCTTTTCATTTTGAAATAATACAGCTGGGGGAAGGAGAAAAAGTTTCTGGGAAAAAGTTACTTTTCTTCCCCCCTCCCCCTTGATATCTAATAACTATTACAGATGCCTGACAGCAGCAGGATTAAAGAAATGACCAATCACTTCAATTTAAGGTCTGTAATGTAGATGAATAGCCTTCCACCTACAGTCCACATTATATCCAAGCATTCAATCCAAGCAGGTGATGTGACTTTTGCTAGAACCACTGTTTACCTCAAAAAATTAAATTTCAAAAGGTGATTCTAGTAAAATCCCAACTAACAACAGACTTGAATATTAACTTTGTATCCAGCTACAACGAAATAGGCTGTGAGAGTGAGACCACTGCAGTCTGTTCTCAGCATTCTTTCTATCTTGAAAGAAGTGTTGGGAACAGTGTGAAATACTAGGGCCAAATTATGGTATCAGTAGAATGAATGGCCTTAGGCTTAGTTGAAGAACAGACATTGCATCAAAAACTTGTGAGCCTCGTTGGATGCTGAATAAAACCCAAATCGATAGAGTCACCAGATAGATTTACTTTACCTGAGAAAACTTTGTGCTTTTACAATGGCTTCCCTCATTATTAACTCAGCATTTATGAGAGCCACAGTAAGACATACAAGCTGTCTAACCTGAAAGATTGTCTCAAACAAAAAGGAAAGTCATTGCACTGATATAAAAATCAGTCTGAGTCTTTCTAATGTTTGGCAGTACTGGGAAACAGCAAACAAGGCAGTCTTTGCTGAAAATGGTCTGTGTAATGTTGCTTCACATAAATTTATGTTTTAACAGCTACAAACCACAACATGGCCAGGGGTTATTTTGGCTTATATCCTTAAAAAGGAGAAATTTTGAATTGGACAGATAGTTCAATGTCACAAAGTGTCAGAGGCATCAATCCATCAATCTCTCGAGGCATTTAAAGCGGAGGAGTACCACAGCCTCCGAGGAAACACACCCCTCTAGTGGCAAAAGTCGGCCAGGTAAAGAATACCCTCTATATTCCCTACATAATTGTTAGAAGTGTAGAAAAACACCTAGTAAAGACTATCCTCCCCACAACTACATGTGATTCTTCATGTCGCTAGATAAATATTTAATAACATGAAAGTTACGTGACATTGGTATGTATCTCTCACTAAGAGAAATATTAATGTATTACCTTGCAATGTGTTTTCATCACTGAAAATCTTTTCTGCCACAAAGGGAGTATGTAGCTCTGTTTTAGATATATTACCATTTAGAGTATGAAGCAAAAGTACCTGTTACACTTTTAAGCCTTATTTAAAACCAGCCCACTGAAAAAACAACCAACCAAAAACCCCCAGAATCATGGAGAAATATGTTCAACAGACAACAATTTCTGGATGATCTACATAGAGAATTGCCCAGTTCAAAGCTTGTTTTTTTTGTTTGTTTGTTGTTTTTTTTTTTTGGGGGGGGGGGGGGGAGATACTTTGGTTTGCCTTTTTAAGAGTGTTTACAAAGTCTTTTACAGACATAGACTATATATAGGAGGTGAGACTGGAGAAAATGAAAGAGTAGAGAAGCATAAATGATACATATACAAGAAGAAAAAAGCTTAGAACTGGTGGCAATAATAAAGGAAGAACAGCATGGGTGACACTATCAGGGATGAAGGCTATTAACAGTTCTCTAAAGAGAGAAATGTATGAAATCATGCAGAGAAAATGACAGCATATTGTTGAACAATATGCAAGTTGGGAAAAAATAGTGAGAGATGAATTCAACTACAAGTAATGAGAAAGAAACTATTTGCCTAAAGGGGTAGATATAATCCCAATATTCTGAAGATCTGAAGATATTTTTCTTACTTATTTAATCTTCCACAAATTACCTGGGAACGCTCTGCACAAGAAAGCCTTGCAGTTTCCCGCACCTTTCATTGAAAATTTTTAAGACTAGAATTCACACAATGAACGCTAATAACATCAACTTGTTTCATATATATTAGGTCACAAAGCCCACTCTACACCTGTGTTCTAGAGAAAAGGCATAATTGTTGGCAACTGATATACGGCATTTTCTCTGATTAACAGCTTTAACAGCTATATGAGCTTAACTACCACACAGTTTCTTTCAAATTATGGGAATCAACAAAAACACGGTTTATTGATTTCCATCAGTTAACAGCAGGATGTGTATTACATAGCTCAGCCACAATCTGTTGGTATGCATTTAAGACCATGCATACAGTCTTAAAACTGTTTAATTGTCAGGTGTGGATTTCATAGAATTGTCAACAAGATTTTTATCAGGTGTTTCGTAATGATACCAAGGTCCATCGCCCCTCTGTCTCATCAGTCTGCGTGCCTCCAACTCCATCAGCCTACAAAAAAAACCAAACCAATGGACACACTCAACATGAAGTTTATTGGGTTTGATCATATGTATATCAATGTCAGCAATGAGTTTAGCATCTATGGTTAATAAATAGATGCTAAGTATGCTAAAGATGCTAAGTAAATAGATTAGCTAAGTATGCTAAATATGGTTAATACTACTGAAACATAGACAATACCAAAATATGAAGGGCTCAACTAAAACATGAGCTATTACAGCCTTCTATTTCAATCTTTTTTTTTCAGCAAGTCATAGAAAAGTAATAAAAATACTTGCAGTTCTGCCACAGCTTCTTGCCTGGTAAGGGGCTAGACAGTTTTGATACAGCTTTAAACTAAGAATACATAGAAGCAAGAAAATCAGGAGTAAATGTGATAGTAGAAGGAGTTACGCTGTTTTGGTCCAAGTGGCAACAGTTCGTGGAACTCAGACTTTCTTCCATCACCACCATTTACTCTGAGTAAGTGCAGAACAAACTCAGTACAACGTCATTCCTGCCCACAAAATTTTCAACAGCAACAACGAACAGTATCAATCCTGTAAATTGTCACTTAGTTGCCCAAGTAAGTGATGAGCATTAGCAGAGGCAAAAAGAGCTGTCCATCTGCTGACTCAGGAAGACAGAGCTATACCTTTATAAATACCAACTGTTCTGAAGAGTCACTGTTGTTTTACAAGACTGCCCTTGGATCCTTCCAGTTCTGGTAATACTGAGAAGGCAGAGACTACAGATACCCTAACTTCCACTTTCGCACCAGCCAGTGCAGCAAGCATTCAGAGTCAAGTGATACAGAAGTAAGCATGTTACATCAGCATTCAACTTTGTAAGTTAAGCAAAATGGTCAACTACAGTATGTATGTTTTTTTAACCCCTGAGCTATATAACATACCTCATTTGAGTTTTCTTCGCTTCAATATGAAGTACAGCCATCTCCTTTTCATAGTTCTTTTCAGGGGGGTCAAGGAGGTAACGAGCTATCCAGCGACTTATAGGGTGCTGGAAAATACAAAAGCCGAGATTATTCCTGCAATTTACAAGTAGAAATGTCATCATAACTAAACCATTTTGCATGTTCCTGGTCCTGAAAACATGTCATCAACGCTATGAGTGCTGCCACTCAAACCGTAATAGTAAAGTTAAAAAAGTGCTCAACTATTTGTAAGATCAGAACTCTCAAATGCCATATTTCTTTTGACATTTTTGATGCCAAGATAACCAGCAGACGACTATTCTGTAGCAAAATTAAAGGCTAATGGAAGACGTGAATTATTTTCTTTCTGTTGAAGTAAAAACTTCCACCGTAATTACAGAAATGGACTCCAAAACTCTTACCATATTCAGTGACATTTTAAAGTTTTGCTTCCACATAGAAGTCATTTCACTAGGAACAGAAGTCTAAGTGTGTTGAAACAGTCATAATAGAATCACTGAATTCAATTACTTCCTACCAAAAATGTGCTTGCAGCAAGAAGCCACAAACTAATTTTAAGAAAATAAAATGAAAAAAGTGTAACTGAGAGTTTCTGAATATAAAAATCTTCAGTTCTAGATATAAAAGCCTGTGTAGTGCTGGACTTTGAAATGACAGTAGCAAACAGTACAAAAGAAAGTAATGTCACTTTAAACTCCAGTATCTTAAGGTGCTGTAGTTCCAGAGCAAGAAACAAAAGACAAAAACTGCATGCAGGGAATAAAGAGAACAGAAGACTGTTCTTACTACTTAGGAATATTATAAAAAATTCTTGACATACAGCTTCAGCAGTTTATTTGCATATAGTTACAGACCATTCATATCTACTTTTGTCAATAAACAGACCTCCTACAGCAACATGCATGTTCCATAAAGCTGAAAAAAGCAAGTTTACCAAAATCATAATTGCAGAATTTGAGTTCTGTTACACCAATACCCAAAGGCCATCCTCATTATCATATTCCACACATTTTACTCCCAAAAGTGTCATCAAGAGGAAGGTTGTTGATAAACATGCCACCCTTTTACACGTTACACTCACTTTGTAGTATTCCCAGTACTCTGGAACATAACCTTCAGGAATCTCTGCAAGTTCAGCTTCACCTGACAAGGAAAAGGGAGGAACATTTAATTCACATATTTTTCTTTTATGTACTTTATATTCTACTTTGCATATTGGGAAAATTGGGAGGGTACTTAATTCCTCAGTCTGAGCTCTATTCAGAAATATTTCCAGACACTTCACACTGTGTGTATCTAGCTCATAGATTAAGCCACACAACAAAGTGTGAAATTAGCTGCTATACATAAGAAATAACTATGATCAAGTCTGCACAAATGCCCTTTAAAGCATATGAGCTGAAAGCATGGATTTTTCCTAATTTCTTTATTAAATCAATTGTATATTATTACTGTAGTAGACGTAAAACAAGTATTGCCAAGCAAAATTTTATTGCCAGATAAAAGCGACAGTTGCAGTGTATGCAGCCTTTTTAAAGTATGCCAAACAAGGTAATACAGACTCCTCATCTGAACACAGAACTGTTCTCTAAACCTCACCGATGTTTGAAAGACTGTAAAAAAGATGGAATTCTTCCATTTTTAAAAATGTGGTAACCTTCTTTTAAAAAAGCAACAACTACAGAAAAATAAAAATACTGGGAACATATTCCATGTACTTACAAGATTGCCATAACTGTTAGGCCTATTTCATGGTCTCCCAAAGTCCAAACCTTAAGAGATCACTTGTTTCTATCTAGTACGCTTAGTTTCCAGTTGATAATTTTTGACAGTGTATTTAGCTTAGTCACGACAGAGCACTCACCAATGAAGATGTTGACATATGTTATAAATATTGCCACTGGTATTCCCGTCAGAAGTACATAGAATCGCTGTACAGGGAATAAAAGAAAAAAGAAACAGTACAGGAAACTCAGAAGCCTGACAACATTTAAATGTGGTTAGTCTGACAATGATGTAAGAGCCAACAGATTTGCATTCATATCTTAGATAAGGATGCTGTATGTAAAGACATATTGCTGCTTAAAATGACTTAATTAGAACACAGAAACGGTGATGCTGTGTCAGTCCAGGAGCCTATTTAGTTCAGCTTCCCATCTCTCAGTCTCGTAGAAGCAGGCAGCAATGCTTTCCCTGAATGCTGTCTCAGCATCTTGTGATGACTAGCTTCAGCATTTAACCATACCAAGGCGCTAATACCAATGTAATGTAATCCATCATAAATACAACCAGTGCTGGCTTTGGTAACTGTGGAAGACAGATAAAGGAAGCCTGAGTGCACAAAGGGGGTTATACCAAGTTGACTGTTACTGGCTGTAACAGGCTTTACCTGAAACCTATAGCTTTTTCGGGGTCAAATTCAGGTCAGGCTTCCAAAGTCTCATCTCTGGTGCTTAGGGATTTGGGTAACTGAAGCCAAACCCTGCAGAAGAGTAACCTAATACATTATTAAAAGGAGGCTATAGTACAAAGCATTTGTAGGTCATGCATATATAACACATGCACATAATTTAAGAATGCTACTACAGCTGTAAGTACCTATCACAATTTTTGCCATTCAGCCATTCTTTTTACTTCATCTGGCCCTGATTTTACAACACATGACAAAAAAAATCTTTAGAAGGAGGACTGGAAATTCTTATGTCAGTAGTGCCAGCCACATTTTAGATGTTCTCATGTAAACAATAGAGAAAACTGTATCTTAGACATTTTTACACCATTTGCAAAGGATGTGTTATAGTGAATATAGTAAATTCAGTTTTAACTCACCAACAAGTTCAGAAATCGAGTATCATAAAATTTTGTTGCCTTGATAATGAACATTCTTTTCCCATGGCTGCTGCTATGTCGTACAGGAGCTGAAAATTGAACCAAAGTATTATGTGTTTTTCTCCCTTTGGTGACTGTGCCAGGACAAGGTCAACAACACATGTGGAAAACAAACAAAGAGTATACAACATCATCTGAATAGTTACAAGCTGGTTTTCTAGGGGATATCAATGTACCCACAGGTCTGTCTATTTCTTACTTTGCTAGGATGAACCTATTTTTCTTCTAACTTCCAACATAGGTCTATTTCTACCTGCAAGTCCCAACAAAGAAATCACCAAATGTCATCATATGGGCCCAAGTAAATTCACAGATGGGTAAGTTTGGCCTCCCGCCAATTTTGACCCAATTTCTATCCCAGAAATGCAATTTCTGAGGGAAATGATGACACACGTTGCACCCCCTCACGGGATTTTCTTCACGTCGAACGCGTTTACACCTGCACAGACAAGAGCGGAAGCAACGGTAACCGTACCGCACAGCAACCCTCTCCTGCCCCACTGCCAGCGCAGTAGGGAAAGGACGGGCGGCCCCTCATCCTCAGGAGAGCAGCTCTTCCACGCTCCCCAAGGTCACCTCGCCCCTGGCACAGCCGCTCCCCCCATTCCCGCCGCCGAGGCCCTACCGACAGCGCCGGGGAGGCGGGAGGCTCCGCCGAGCCAGGGCAGGTGAGCGCCCCCCGCTGCGCCGCTCGCCGCCCTCCGGGCACCCCAGGCAGCCGCTGCCCGGAGAATCACGCTCATGGCCGCCATTGCGGGAACTGGTAAAGGGCGGGGCCGCTGGCGCTGTTTTCCTCGGCGGGATGAAGCTAAGCAGCCGCCATCTTGGAAAATGGCAAAGTCTTCTCTCCCCTTCCGGCGCCCTTGCGGGCCGCCGTCCGCGGAGCCAGGCTTTGTGGGGCGGAGCGCGTCATGGCGGCCGCCGCGGGAATGTCCGCCTTGTGCCGGCGCCTCATGGGCTCACTGCGGTTGTCAGGAGCGCGCCCGAGTTTGATGGCTGCTGGTATCCCTGGGTGGGCACTGCACAGGCTCAGGAACTGGCTGGGGTGGGCGAGGGCGCGTCGTCGGGAGGAAGGAGAGCTGCCCTTGGTGGGAGGCGGGCTGTCCAGGTGGCCTGGCCTCTGAAACCACGTCTGAGTGTTGCGAGTGGCTTATGCTTTGAGGCGTTGTGTAAGCGTGAAGCGCTGCTTTTTGCGTGTTACTTTTTTGTTGTCATGCATCACTGCGGCGTGGGTTTTGTGCTTACGCCGTGTGTTAACCGCTTTTGCCGTTTAGCCGAAGTCAGCGTCGGAGGATGTGTTCTTAGACTGCGTAGCTCAGACTTACTCTTTCTTTTAAATTTCAAACTTACTTATTTCTGAGTATACATAAGTGATAATTAGATGAGACGAGGGGAGGAGAAAACACCACTGAGATGACAGTTTTATGAAGAATTGAACCTATGCCTTTTCTCCCTGAACTGTGGCATTCATCGCTCTGTAGAACAACATTTGCATTTATATTATTATTTTTTTTCTTATCATATATGGTTTTTCTTGTAATTTTTATGCAGGTTGACACCAAATCTCTTCCACAAGAGCCAAGCAAAAGTTGAGCTTCGCCATCAGTTGAAGTTTCTGCACACTACTTTGTCTCGGAAGGGTCTGGAGGAGTTTTTTGATGATCCAGTAAACTGGGGAGAAAAAAGTGTAAAGTCCGGTGAGTTTTACTTTTATAATTTCTAATAGAGATCTTTGAGCCACTTGTGGTCAGCTGAAATCTGACATCCTCTGCATTCTAGGAAGCATTCATAGGTACACAAAACATTTTTAACGTGTATATGTACACAGTACTTTTGCATCTTTATACCTGTTAATTTTATTTTCCTGTGCGTATTCTGTGTTTATGAAAGCAAATAGCTATTACGCAGCAACATATTTTACTGTAAATCCTCTGCCTTGCTCTTAAGCGACAGTGTATCACAGAAGAAATGTTCTTTGATAAAATATACGGTACTGTGGAAGAAAAATATTTCAATGTAAAGATTCATTTTTCATCTTTCCCTGTTCCCAGCCTCTTACAGACACAAATAAAAGAGCATGTAATTGCCTTTTTAAGGTGTGTGTATGTGCAAAGCAAAGCTGAGTATCCACAAGGACTGCTTTCAAAGGACAGCTCTTTTTCTAAAAAGTGGCCTTTGTTCTGTAATACTTCCGAGCCTGCTAATGGAAGCATTTCTCATTTTTTCTGTTGGAATACGAGAACTTTGTTCTATTGACGATTTTTTTTGCTTCCCTTTTCACAGGGGATGCATGGAATATAAAGCAACTGAGGGCCAAAAGTAGTGAGGACTTACACAAGCTTTGGTAAGTATGTTTTAGTGAAGTACCTGTCTTGTTTCAGAGCAGCTCTGGATGTTTTATTAAAATGTGGCTAGTGAACTTACTAGTCAGTACATTTACCTAATGCAGCAGCCTGCCATATTGCTCCCCATGCTTTTAACAGCCCAAGTTTAGGTACCGCTCAGCATGCACAAGCTATAAGGCAGGTGGCTATGTGATAGCTGTGCCCCATGCAAAAGGATCAGGTTTGGTATGAAAAGGCTGTGTCCGGGCCCTTTGGAGGTTGCTTGAACTGCAGGACACTTGGGGAGGCTGACCATTACATTAGATTATGTTCCTCAGCTCTGAATCTTATTCTGGTACCAAAGTCTTTGAGGTTAGAGATTGCGTCACCACTCTAGGCAACCTGTGCCAGGTCTAAGATAGTTAGTATTTAGTTATTACTGTGAATGGTTTTTGTCTTGTTATATATTCTTTTTGCTGTATATTCTTCTTGCTGTGTACCTGTAAGAGTCTGGCTCTGTCCAGGCAGTGGAAGACTACTTAGCATTAACCTCTTCCCTTCTTAGCTGCCTTTATTCCAGGTTAAGTAAACCTTTATTCCTCAGCCTCTGCTCATATGTTCTTGTTCAGCCTGGGGAAGAGAAGGCTCAGGGGAGACCTTAGAGCAGCGTTCCAGTACCTACCTGAAGGGGCCAACAAGAAAGCTGGAGAGGGGCTTTTACAAGGGCACATAGGCTAGAACAAGGGGGAATGGCTTAAAACTGAAAGAGGGAAGATTTAGATTAGATAATAGAAAGAAACTCTCTACAGAGAAGGTCATGAAGCCCTGACACAGGTTGTCCAGAGAAGCTGTAGCTGCCTCATCCCTGGCAGTGTTCAAGGCCAGGTTCGATGGGGCTTTGAGCAGCTTGGTCTGGTGGAAGGTGTCCCTGCACGTGGCAGGCTGGTTGGAACTGGATGAGCTTTAAGATTCTTTCCAAGCCAAACTGTTCTATGATTCTGTGTGTCAGCCTTCCCCACCTCTGCTGGGCTTTCTGCAGTTAGTACCTTCGCCTCTTCATATGGAGCTAGAAGGCATGGGATATGAGATTAGAGGTTGAACAACTCTGCTCCGTCCAGCAGGTTAGTGACTGAATAATTGCTAATAGATCCAGAAATTATTTCTGAAGTACTGTGCTTTCTGATCTAGGTATGTCCTACTGAAGGAAAAAAACATGCTTTTAACTTTACAGCTAGAATCAAAACGACAACTCAAGCCTATGCCAAGTCCAGAACGATTAGAAAAGGTAACATTTTCATACATAGCTAAAAGTATGACTAAAATAGCTGAGTGAAAGAGTAAGTGTTTTTAAACTTAATGACTTTTTTTTTCTTAAAATATATTATTTCCCTGATTTTAGTATGTGCGTAAACACTGCTCAGTCAACACGGTGGGAAAGGTTTCTCTAACATTAAGGAATATTTTGTTTTCTTTGTGCTAAAACTTCAGTATGCTCTCTCCTTACCCTCCACTGTTGCCAACTTCTTGCCTCTGACATTGTCGTCTCCAAACTTTTGCTCTTTAGTTCTTTGCTGTCCTCACATTCCCACCTTCTCTTGCATTATTGCAGTTCTGCTGCAAATTTACTGACTTCTTTCCTCAGTATCTTTACTATTGGAATCATCATTTACTTGTAAATCCACTGCCATCTCTATGCTTATGTCTTGCAGATGGAAACCTACACCTTCACTGGCTAGTTAAATAATCCAGCTGTTTGACTTGAGAGATATTCTCAGATATCCCCCTATGCATCCAAATTAATTTGGGAAAAGCTTTTACATTGTTAATTTGAATTTATTTGTATGTTTAATAATTCAACTGTTATTTGCCATTACATATATCTGTAACTGCATTACGATTTCTCTGTTTTGTGTCAGACATGGAATGATTTGGTTTCCTCCTCGTCATTTAATCACTGTACTTGTAAATTAGGGAAGACCCAATATAAAACTGGATCTCAGTGTATCTTTTTCTAATGTATTGCAATACAGTTTCTTAACTGTATTTTGTGATTCCCATTCTAAACAGCATTTTTGACTTAGACCCACCTCTACACATCCCTGTTCAGCAATTACAAATCACAACAGAACTTGTTTTGGGAGGGAACTTAACTAAGTGGCCCTAACGCTTTAAAAATCAAATCTTACTAATTCCCTGTAGCCCAAGAAAACTAGAAATCAAGCACCAGTTAAATACTATGATTGCATTGAGACAAAATACAGCAATCTGCTTATTAGAATTAGCTCTAGCAGTTCCCATGCATTTAACATGTTGCCATATGTAATGTGTGTTACAGTAATATGGGACAGATCTGACTAAAACACTTCAATGCAAGTGGCATGATTTAGTCGAGGCAGCTTTCTAATCAGCCAGTAGGCGTTATTGAGGCTGTGACCCAACTCCAAAGTTAAAACTAGATTAACAGACAGTACAAACCATCTGACAGAAATACATAAAATACCTGCTGCTGCTTCTACTTCCTCCCCACCCCTGCCTCCGAGCTGAGCATCAGCATTAGATCTAGCGTTGTGTATTATCCATCTATTATTTAATGAAATAGACCATCAGTTATTTCATCTCTCTTCTGCTTGTAAGTTAAGTTTTTAAAGCACTGGTTCTTTACTGTTCTAACACAGGACCAATTCACCTGTTTCACTCACTCCACAAGTGTGAGATTACTGATGACAGAATTCCCAGAGTGTTCAACATTTGCTTTTTGTTTAGATTTTGTCTTATATCTTCAAGATCTTTTAATTTGTTGGTATTGTGTTTTGTTGGCCCATTTTGAAACTGTTTCCTATTGTCAGGTAGAAGAGTCTATGAAAAATATAGATTTGGTTGTCAGAGAAAGAGAAATTGCTTTGAGGCTTCTACAAACTGGCCATGAAAAGCCAGTACCTGGCGAGTGGAGACATGACTTCCTAGGACGCACCTACTGGTATGAGAAAGAGAACCTTTTCTTCTAATTCTTATGTGACTTTTGCTTGTGGAAAAGTCTCTTTAAATGAAATCCTTCTCTAATCAGGAAAGCATGCATGTGGTTTATAGAAAGAAACGTTTTCTGATTAGTATTCATGTCCTGTTTGATTTTTGTTGTTTCTATGGGTTTTTTTGATGCGGTTACAATTCAATAGCAAGCTTTACCATTAATTCTAATAAAATTAGTTCCATGCAACTGATTTCTGCACTATAGCTATTCTGCAGCACACAGATGAACTAGGGAGTACTGCTCAAGTTGAATCACTTGGACTTCCCTGGTTCTAATGCAAAATCCACATACTGAGAGACAACTACCCAAAGTGTTGCATGAGACCACCTAAATGTCCCTTGGAATTCCCTGCTACTCTTGGCAGATAGTTAACTTAGAAGCTTCTAAGAATTATTTACTGTCCAGATGCTTTCAGTAATCTGTAACTTCAGGTGATGATACTGAAGGCTCTGGCAGAACCTGCTATTTCATCAACCAGCATTTTACCCTCATCATATTGGCA